GAAGTTAACAGATGTAGAGCACGAATAATTAGGTTATGTGAAAGATAAATAGTGAGTATATTTGAATCCAATTGCATTAGGAGTCCTCCCTATTTTAGTGTAGAAACTTAAAATATCTGTTATTATATCATTATATTTATACATATATAAAAGCTTCCTCGTATATACCCACGGTAAATAAACTGGTATATATTAGTCGGGATCACAGATTCACAAACGTTAAAATGTAATATCCGATCTAAGCAAATTATAGAAATATATGCTTGTGAAAAATGATGCTTATTTAATTTCATAAGAACGTAAAAATGGGTATAATTCAGAAATAAGAATTATTTATTTTTTATTATCCTATATAGTAAATGCTATGATATAACCATAATAAAACACTAGTTATACTGGAAATTTTCTCTCAATATACTGAAAAATCTTTGATCAAGCGACGTTTTTACTTGACCACTTCATTTATTAGTCTGCGGTCATGGCGGTAGCTTCGTAGTATTCTGCTGCATGTTAATTATTTTTACAGATTTTTCATCAGTTGTATTTTCAATTACTTTAAAGGTCAATACGTATATTAATTATATATTTTATTGAGTTATTTTTATTATGGATAAGCTATTTATCTAATGGCTCAGTTTTGAACATCATCTTACAGGCAATCTTCGTTACTCATGTTGATTTCAATATGGCCTCTGGAATCGTTACTGGAGGCAGTAGTTCGCCAGAGTCAACAGAAATGGGAAGAGGTGCCAGTCCTGAGCTTGCTGACGAGCTTTCAGAATTAGTTCCCGTTCTTGAGGCTACACATATTGCGCCACATAAGGTTATCCCTTAAGCGTTTTTTCTCAAGAATTGTCTTTCAACTTGCTAAAATAAAAAAATTAATATTAAGTGTAGTTTTTATTATACTAATACATATTAATTTGGTTTTCTTGTAATAACTGGCTATCTTATTTTCACATTTATTCTATTATCATGCCTGTCCAGATAGCTAACATTTAATTATTCTCCATCACATGCATGCATTTTTTATGTTTAGAAGAGTTCATTGGTAGGATCTTCCTCTCCATTTGATCCTAAGAAAGGTAAAGTGACCGTGCAACGCCCTGGAGACCAAAAAGCTTATCAGTGTGGCCCGAGTAGCAAGAAAAATAAAAAAACAGATTCTGTAAGCATTTATTTATTATACAATGTGTTTTTTTTATTATTCACACAATGTATCTTTTCAGGACGCTCTAAAAGAAATTATCCGTTGTCGGGACGAGGGCACTTCTAGAATAGATCTCTCCAAAGGGCAGCTCCTCTCTCTTCCATCTACGATACGAGATGTTGCAAACAACCTCAAAGAATTGTACTTATACTGCAATAAACTAGTTAGGTTGCCAAGTAAGTCTTTCAGCCTACTCGCATTAGTTACTATGGAAATTCCTTTCTCTAACCTTCTCTACTTATGTAGAAGAAATTGGATGTCTCTCACTCTTGGAAATATTAATGGTGCAGGAAAACTCATTAACACGTCTTCCTGAGTCTCTGGCGAATTGTGTTAATTTAACCATGTTGGATGTGCGCCATAACAAGCTCTGTGAAATCCCTCCAGTTATTTACAAATTAGTTAACCTTACTCATCTACTCCTGCGCTTCAATAGGATTCGTGTAGTAGATGAAGAAATCAGCAATCTGACGGTATGATCTGCATAATACTGCATAATATATTTTTTTCATATGCTTTTAATCCTTGCTTGATTTGTTATTTCTGGATAGTCCGAACCGAGATTTCGTTTGGTATTTCGTTGGGCAGATTAAAAATGAGTTGACATTTTGCTATCCCTTGCTACGCCGTAGTCATTGCAAAAATATTTTAATTAAATAAACCCTACTCATTACATTGATGGCCAAACTTCTTTAAAGTACTATATGGTGCAAAACTTCGATTTCGAGAAATTTGTCCCCTTACAAGTGGTCAATGTTCTATATGGAAAGGTGTTTTCGCAAGACAAACAAATGTCGTGAGTGAGGATTAGTTATTCATAATTCTGAAATACAATAAGCTTATATTAATGATAATCTAAGTGAAAAAAATGAATCAAAATCAGGGCATATATTCATTTGGCTTGCCTTATTAGTCTCGAACCATAGTTCAATTTCACGTGCCAAATAATTTGGATCGTTAATATTTGGCCTTCTGAGATATATCATCCAGATGCTTTTGCCATTTCAAGGCAATATCGATTTTTGAATAGTAAAATAATATGCAAGATTCGATCATCCAACGAATAGATACTAGTCATTTTTTTCTTAACGCGTAATGTAATCTTCACTGTATCCATACTATGCTGTTCAAACGCAGAAATTAAAACATTCTAATTTATTTCGCCCTTATATAGGATA